GTGCCGGCTGGCGACCCCAAGGGGGAGGGCCTTCTCTGTGGGAGCTCCCACCCTCTGGAATGAGCTGCCCCCAGAGATCAGGGTGATCCCTGATCTCCCTTCCTTCCGCCGCGCCCTCAAGACATGGCTGTTCCAACAAGCGGGACTGGCCTAGGATAATTTTTAAGAGGGTTTTTTAGAGGGGTTTTTAATTACTTTTAATTAGACAATTTAAATATTTCATTTTAATTAATTTTAACTTGTGATTGTTAGTGGTGTTTTTAATTGATTGTCAGCCGCCCTGAGTCCGCAAGGAGAAGGGCGGGATATAAATTCAAATAATAAATAAATAAATAAATAAATTATTATAATAAATTATATTTCAAGTATTTATTCAAAAGCAATTTAAAAGGAGAATAACCTGACAATTTATTTATTAAATGTAATTGTTATAGTGACTCTGCAGCTTACAGAATAATAAAAAGCAAAAAAAGATAATACAAAGCAATTAAAATTAGAAAGATTAAATAAGAAACTAAAAAGCAAGATGACAGCAACAGAGGGGTAGGATCTTTTCTCTACCCTGTCAGCCAACCCAATCTAGAATGCCCTTATCAGGATTTCAAGCTGAATAGCAGAGCCAAGTTTTAGGCTCCTCCAGAAGACCAAGACTGTAAGGCCAACTTTACCTCCAGTGGGAGAATATTGCAAAGGGTCGGGGCCACAGCTGAAAAGGCTTATCTCCTGGACCCCACCAGCCAAAATTCATTGGTAGATAGGGTCCGAGGTAAGTCTCTTCCACTGAAGTGAGTTGGACGGGCCAGTCTCATTGGGCTGAGATAATCTTTAGGTAGCCTGGACCCATGCCATAAATAACTTTATGGGTAATAATCAACACCTTGAATTGGACCAAAAAGCAACCAGTGCAATTTCCACAGCAATGGTATTATATGGGCCACCCAAGGGCCTCTAGAACTCTCCATGCTACTGCATTCTGTACCAGTTATAGTTTCTGAATACTCTTCAAGGATAGCTTCATATAGAGCATGTTAAGTAATCCAATTGAGAGATAATCAGGGCATGAGTGACTATGTGCAGGATCTCAGTATCCAGGGTCAATTAAGGGGAAGGGAATGATGATAATGCAAAAGGGAGAGGAACAGTATGTTTAAATTCGATTTATTTTCTGTATTAAGAATCTGCCATTTTTTCAGAATAGCAGTTTTGAGACAAAATGGATTCTTTTTTTTATTGATTCTTATCTGCAAGAGAAAGATGCCAGTCAGATGGACAGCATGTAAATTTAATAAATACATAAATAAAACTACAATGTGGAAAGAAGGGAGATACCTGCCAAGCCTTCAGCCTTGGAGTTTCCATGTTCTTACCATCTTTATTCCTCACCCTCCTAGGTCTGGAGAAAAAGGCTCCATGTAAACCTCGTGCTACAGCCCAGATTGTGTTGTAAGTGAAATAGTTGTCTACTGACAAGATACGATCAATCTGCTCTTGGGGCAAAACCTCCAGTTCTTCTCTCTCTCTGCACCGTTTCCAGCTTTTCACTGAAAAGGCATCATTGGAGTAGGAACACGTAAAGGCTCTCTCTGAAAAGCGTTGCGTTGCAGAATAAAAATGCCGAGACACATCATGGTTTGCTGTTTGTTTTGTTTTCATAAGAAAGGAAAAAGTGCTATGGATAAGTTCAATGAGAGCAGCAATTTCTGTCAAATATAAGTGAAAGTCCCCCAGGAAAGTAGATATTAGGACTTTGCCTTTAATGGCTTCCTTAAAACTTCCAAGGGCTTTATGTATAATTAATATCCCAGTATATATTGAATCCTTGTCTGCACCATGAAGAAAGACATTCACTTGTCTCCAATTGTGGTATACATCAGAAAGCCTAAAGAGATTTTTACCACTTGTGGAAAAGGTTTGTGATATAACTGGGCAAATGCTATCCCTTATCAGCATGGAGGTCATGGTCCTCATGAATTTTTGCCCTTGATCAGTATCTGAAGCAATCAGACCAACCAAGGTCCACCTGAAATGGAGAAGTAGCTTGATCATCCCTGGGTACTGGACTCCTTCAAAGGGGAGCATTGAGTAGAAGAAAGGAAATTGGTTTTTATCATTCAGAACCTGGGAAACAAAACTGTAAGTG